CGCCATCTCTGTGTACAGATCTTTTCACCCCAAAATTTTAACTTTTAAGGACCAATATCTGTCCGCAACAACTGATTAATGGCTTTTGTCAATACCTTAGCTACTTTTTTCTACTAATTGAGATGTTTTCACTTATTTCTGTTTATAAAATAAGAGGCGTTTTCACTTATTTCTGTTTATAACATTAGAGTGCATCAAAGTTTTTGCTGACAGTCTATTCAAGAGCGTCTTTTTTGCTGCACTTCATTGCATCCTGTAAAAAAAAAAAAAAAGTAAAAAAACTATTCAGCCAAAACACCGCACAGCCTCATCCCAGGTGCACCACAACCTCTGCCGTATCCCCATGTACCCAAAAAGTGTGTTTTTTTTTTTCTGCTAAACGTATATAAAAAAACTATTGATTTTATCAGTAACATCTGCAGTGGGTGTTTGGTGGGCCTCTGTGGTCAAGGTTTGATTCATTTTGATAAGTCATTTTTTCATCTTTATAAAGTATTAGGGTTGACTATTTTCCAAATTAATTTGGAGGGTCTGTGAACCTCAAACAAACTGGGTTTGCCCCCCACGTTGTCCTGAACCTAATCTCATCCCTACAGTCAAATTTCTATGTTGATATAAAATCCTGCTCTCTCTCTCCATAGTTAAAGTGGAGTCGGCAATAGAGACTTGGACACGTATCCAAAATAGAGGCAGCACACGTCAGTTCATTCCATTTTCCCTTGGAGATCAATCTGTCTGACAGCTCAGGGGGCTAATGAAGGCAATGAGATTCCCCGAAACGTGTATCTAGCTACAATAATTTTGTGCAGACAGATGCGCTAGAGCTGTCAAACGCATAGATTTGCAAGCAAGAGATTCAGCATATCTCTTCTTTTCCCAAAGCTTAACACTTTCCCAAAGCCATGAGTCACGCTGTATATTATCCTTGTATGCAAGTATGGGCTTAATATCTCTCTCTCTCGCTCTCTCTCTCATACTCTCTCTCTCTCTCTCTCTCTCTCTCTCTCTCTCTCCCCCTAAACAATATTTGTAGCTGTTTTCTCTCAATACACGTATTAACTGCAAGATAAAACCCGCCTACTCTCTTTATATTTGCTGCCTATTCAAGTGTTTAAACTGAGAAAATTTACCATTCTAAGAAAAAATTAAGATAATTTTGAAAAATGATGGCAGCAATACATCTCAATACAGTTGGGACAGGTCAACAAAAAGCTGGCAAAGTAAGTGGTACTAACAAGGAAGACTTGGAAGATCATTCTGCAACTAATTAGGTTAATTGGCAACGGGTCAGTAAGATGATTGGGTATACAAAGGAGCATCTTAGAGTCAGTGAGAGGAATTTATCAAAGCTGGAGCAGCAAAATCTGGAGCAGCTGTGCATTGCAACCAAGCGGCTTCTCTCTTTCATTCCCAAATTTTAACTGACCGAACTGAAGAGAGAAGCTGGTTGGTTGCTATGCACAGCTGCTCCAGATTTTGTCTGCTCCAGTTTTGATAAATTCCCCTCAGAGTGTCTTAGAAGTAAAGATGGGCAGAGGCTCACCAATCTGTGAAAAGCTGCATCTAAAAATTGTTGAACAATTTCAGAATAATGTTCCACAATGTAAAATTGCAAATACTTTACATGATTCTGATTCTGTGATGGACATCACTGCATGGGCACAGGTATACTTCCAAAAATTGCTGTCTGTGAACACAGTTTGCCATGCCACCCACTCCAAATGCAAGTAAAGGTCTATCATGCAAAGAACTCATGTCTGAACACGATCCAGAAACGCTGCTGTCTCCTCTGAGCCAAAGCTAATTTAAAATGGTCTGTCACGAAGTGGAAAACTGTTCTGTGGTAAGACGAATCAAAATTTGACACTCTTTTTGGCAACCATGGATACTACGTCCTCCCGACTAAAGAGCAGAGGGACCTTGTTATTAACAGCTGGCTTGTTATCAGCGCTCATTTCAAAAGCCTGCATCTCTGATGGTATGAAGGTGCATTAGTGCATATGGAATGGGCAGCTTGCACATCTAGAAAGGCACCATTAATGCTGAAAGAGGTATCCAGGTTATAGAGCAACATATGCTCCCATCCAGACAACGTCTTTTTCAGGGAAGGCCTTGCATATTTGAGCAGGACAATGCTAAACTGCATACTGCACCTATGACAACAACATGGCTTCATAGTAGAAGAGTCTGGGTGCTTAACTGGTCTGCCTTCAGTCCAGACCTTTCACCAATGAAAATATTTGGCGCATCTAGCGCAAAATACGACAAAGAAGACCCAGGACTGTTGAGCAGTTAGAATCCTATATCGGGCAAGAATGGGACAGCATTCCTCTCCCAAAACTCCAGCAACTGTTGTCCCCAGTTCCCAGACGTTTAGAGTGTTGTTAAAAGAAGAGGGGATGCTACACCGTGGTAAACGCAGCCCTTTCCTAACTTTTCTGAGATGTGTTGCTGCCATCAATTTCAAAACTACCTTTTTTTCTAAAGTTCTCAGTTTAAACATTGGATATGTTTTTTATTTTCTATTGTAGATAAAAATCTGGGTTTATGAGATTTGCAAATGATTGCATCATGTTTGTATGTAGATTTTACACATCATCCCAGCTTTTTTGGAATTGGGGGTGTAATATTTTGAATATCTTGGAGTAATTTGAGGATATGGGGATGGGAGGGAATTCATGACATTTGGGGTTGTAATTGTGAAGTTTTTTTTGTGCACTCTGTTTTAATATTTTCTTAAAATTTTAGCACAAAGCAGTGTGTTACTGTGAAAAAAGAAGTTCACAAACAATACTATCAAACTGTTTTGCCACTGGCCAATTTGTACAAAGTTGAGATCTGTTATGGCTGATACTTCCACCATTCAATTTAAACCCGCTGCCGTATTTAAGCCAAGCTAAATGTGAAAATAATACAGACATTCCTCAGTTACCGACTTACCTGCTTTGCGACCACTGGCACTTACGACGGACCACCGATCGACCTCCGACCTTGCGCGTCAGTGCGACGTTTCGCCGGTGGAAGTGATGTCCTCCGGTCTTCTCTGCGGGTCCCGGTAAGTATTTTCATTGCCCGATGTACAGTACACTGTTGGGTACTGTACATCTGCAATGCTATACAGTTCTGTACTAATGCAGTACAGTACTGTATAGAGTTCCTCACTTAACGACCAATTCGTTTAGCGACCTGGTCGTAGGAACGGAACTCGGTCGTTAAGTGAGGAATACCTGTACTCTTCTTTAACACCACAGACAGCTTAAAGGCTCAGGCTTAAAAACATTTTTTGTTTGTTAAGTGTCTCTCATGGCATTATCCAGCTCCCTATTCACTTTTTTGACAAAAGCTTGCCTATTAGTCTTGAAAATTGACAGAATTCAGTATCAAGATCACCCCTCCCTGCAGAGTTTTCAGTGGGACTTGCTGCTAAGTTTGGCTTTTGCCAATTTCAAGCAGGATTCTATGAACCACCGCAAACCCGGACAGATTTGCTCATCCCTATTGGTCAGCGACATGGCTTGTAGATGGCTATGTGCCACCCTATACCACAACCTGGCTCTGTTGTCAAAGCCGCTAATCTAACGTATTCATTTTTACCAGGTAAAATAGTGCCAGCAGTCATATCAAACTCAAGACATACTTGTAAAAGCCAATAAACAAAAAGGATTGTACTGCATCTAATCAGGTCCACATTAACACTAAACTTATTTTATAATGCTTAGATTCTACATGCCACTCACTAATGTCTGGAGGAATTTCCTATGTTTGTTGTTCCATGATGGATTATGCATAGTTTTTATTTTGTTTGTTGCAACCTGGACTTCAGCTCAGCATGTATGAACAGACTTGCATGCTCCAAAATTCATTCTAACTACAGATTCTTTAATAACAATAGGAAATGTCATAAAAAAGAAAATGGGTTCTTCATAAAAAGTCCTGCCGTGTCATTCTTGACAATTTTACTTTGGGGAACAAACAAGTCTCCTATTGAAATATATACATTACCTTCATCAGCTGTACATCAGTGAATGAAGACTCACAAGTTAAGTTTCACAATTTGTCAATCTATTTCAGTGATTACATTCTTTTGGTAAATAACAGATGTATGTTCTGAGAAGAAAATCCTGCACTAAAAAACTGCGTGTAACAAGAATAAGTGATGGGCATCCATCATGTCAGAGCTGTACACTGTACTAAAAGTATGAAGACCCATATGTTTTTATTCATGTGATCTGTATGGTTGTGTCATGTTTCCAGAATTGCTTAAAAACACTTGCTTGTCTAGGATCCAGTTTTAAAGTAGCTACCGCTGCAAGCTCACTCCTGTGATGGTCTACAATCTTTATACGAGTTAGTAAACTAAACATGAGATTGTAGTCCATCACGGGAGTGAGCATGGAGCCGTGGCTACTTTTTAACACACACAGGGACCATGGGGAACAAAAGTAGCCACTCTCCAGAAGGAAGGACCGTGTCAGCACCAATTCAGAGATGATCTGAGGATTTACAGCTGACACAAACAAGTTAAATTTTTGTTAATAGGGTTCAAGAAAGCATTTTTAAGATTTACCTCCAGAGTTTAGTGTCACTTTTAAAAGGCCTAACACAGCCCAAGAAACACAAGTGTTAAATGCCCGGTTTACAAAATGTTAATTTTAATTTTGCATTTATTGTTTTTTTATAAGTAGCTATTTCATTGTAAGTTTTTATGTCATAAAAGTAACATTGCACGTGTAGACCTAAGATACACCATGGTTGCTTTATCAATGTTCCTCTGCCTTTTTAAATGTATGGGCTTAAATAAAAAGGCTGAGCCATTTTGTGAATGGCCACTAAACAAATAATTTGCTGCCTTCAGCAGTGGGTCAAGTAATTTGATGTGCTCCCTTTGAGGAGAAAGCTTGAAGAGATTGTAGATGGTGGCTTCCTTTTTTTTGTTTGTGTGTGTGTCCTCTGTACATGCACCTTACAACATCCTAAAGATTTCATCCTTTGTCTTGCAGTGTGGGAACTTTGCAGTTCTGGTGGATCTTCATGTTTTGCCTCAAGGCACCAGTAAAGACACCAGCTGGTTTTCTGACCATGAGAAGGAGGTACAACAAAACCATTCCTACTTCAAAAGCCTCTAGCTGCAGGGAAGGAATTGGACTGGCCTGATTTGCTCAGATCTTATTTTCATTGTTACGTTGAGACTACTGTGAATTATAACTAACCTTTAACAGCTCCTAGGGGACTATTAGACATGTGTTCTGTTTCCCTTCAGTTAATGACTTTTCTTTTTAGTTAACTTCTTATTCTGGTCTTTGTCATAAATACGTTATTTTTCTAGCACTGCTGCACTCCATGCTTTTTTAACTAGGCTGTTTTACCCGCAGCCGTCATTTTAGAGTAAATTTGTTTCAATCTAATGTTAATTTAAGAGTAGCATCAATCAATTTTAATGCATATATATGTATAGTGATATAATTTCTATAACCTGGATTATGAATATGATCAAAGAAGATAATTAAATAATAGGTAAAGAAAAATATTGCTGAGAATAATATTATTCTCCGTGACCTGTGTTTTTCCTTCTATAAACTTTTAGTGTTAGGCTAGGACTATACGGTCAGTTTTAATGTCTTGCTGCTGAGATATTAACCACTTGTTGATAGTCGTCTCATTAGTCACACATTGACTTCAGTGCTTTGCCAAGGAGTTGACTGCCAATAAGTGGTTAAATCTTTCAGTTGTAGGATATTAAAATAATCACTAAGATAAGTCTAAAATATATATATGATTTCAATAAAGTGTCTTGGGTCATATGGGATTGAGAAACCATTCACACCCAGAACACTGCAGTGTGATATCTGTGTACATTGTCATTCAATTTGAATAGCACCAAAAAGCACATACACAAGGAACCTGTGCAACATTGCAGCACAATAAACAATGCAGTTAACTGTTGTAAGAAGAAAACTGCAAGAGCGTTTTTTTGTTTTATTTTACTGCAGTAACGCAGCGTGCTTTAATGCATGATAAAGCGTGTTGCCGCTCATGCATTATCACAATGCAGTATGGTGTAAAGGGGCCATGTCGTATACACAATAATGATGCATGTTATCTATCTTAGTATTTATATTTTTGTATTTATATTTTTTGGGGATAACACTTTATGCATTGTTGTCCGGGAGCGTTTAGATTCCAGATTCTATTTTACCAACGCAGGTTTGAATTTGATTAGGCAGTCAGTTCTTCTCTCAAACACTTTGAAAAATGAGGCCTTTTATGTTAAAGGAGAACTATGGGGTCAGTGTTTTTCCCCATAGTTCTCCTTAGGGTAACGGGAGGACACAAACTAGCGTCCTCCCGTTACCCAGCTACAGCTCGTGGTATATTGAGACGCCGCACCTGGAGCGGATCCCGACGTAGATGACGGGATCCGCCCAGCTGCGTGAGTGACAGCTGGCTCTGCCTACCTAGAGGCAGAGCCAGCTGTACCCGCCCCCTCCCCCGTCCGTTCCGCCAGTCAGCGCTGGCAGATCGGAGCGGGGAGAGGGGAATCCAGCCCCTCCCCCTGTCACAGCAGAGAGCCGTGACAGGATCGAGAGGTGAGGGAACCCGGTATGTTTTCCCTCCCCTCCCGATCTACTGAGCCGACCTGTGACAGTTTTCCTTTAATGTGATGATGCAGCACCACCAGGTTAGCTTTTAAAGAGGAACTTTACCCATATCTTCAAAATTCCAACAGAGGCACCTTTAGAAATGTTTAGTAATGGCAATCTACAAACACATACTTCTAGATATGGATGCACCGGTTTTTCGGTATCTAGTGCGAGTAGCAATATTTTTTCTTTCAGTACTCGCCGATACCGAGTATCGAGTATTGGTGCATTGCGCCTTGAATATCAGAAAATCGTGCAGCGGATCATGACCCATCGCCCAGCTTCCTGATTGCCTGTTAAGCCAGTGTTCTAGGGAAAGAACATCGGTTTCAGAGGCTGCCTGGCTTCCTGACCAATCAGGAAGCTGGGTGGCGAGTCATGGGTGGAAGCTGGGTGGTGCCGCCGGGCTTTTTGATTGGTTTGGAAGCCAGGCTGCTTAGCAACACATGAAGCTGGCTTCGTAGCCAATCAGGAAGCCGGAACGTCATGACCCGCCCCCCGTCTTCCTGATTTGCTAGGAAGCCGGCTTCACTTGTTGCTAGGCAGCCTGGCTTCCTGGTCCATTAGGAAGCAGGGAGGCGGGTCATTACGTGCCGCCCGGCTTCTTGATTGGAAAGGAAGCCGGCTCCATGCTCCTTCGGCACTGCTGGTCAGAGGGGGATCTCCCTCTGACCGGAAGTTCTGGGATCAGAGGTAAGTATCAGATCATTTGGGCGAGTACAAGTACTCGCTCAAATGGGCATCGATACTAGTATCGGTATAGGTGCATCCCTACCTCTAGATAAGTGCAGGCTTTTTATTGTTTGCATACCTTGCTTTTATTTTCCTCCCCATTCTTCTCACAGTGACCATTTTTACTAAAGGCAGATGAATCCATTTCCCTTTACTTCCTGGAACTCTGGAACATGTGATTAGGACATGTGACCATGCACATAATCTCAGGGGAGGAAAATGCCTTAACTTGAGATCTCATGAGATTACAGATCTGCTGATGTAAACTTCCCAGAATGCAACACTTGGTCACATTATATCACTTTTGTCAAATAGAACCAGGAAGTAGAAAAAAAAGATATTATAAGTAAAATGAAAATATGTTTGTTTAACTAATGAATGTAAGAGCAGAGCTGCATGCTGATGTGATTTTTAGCCAAAGTGGGTAAAGGTCAATAAAATAAAGGCTAATAAAAAAATAAAGGCAGAAAGAAGCTACAGTGGTAAATTATTTTGACAAGACAACACCATAGAATTGTATGTGCTTTTTATAAGAAAAACATGAAAAAAAGTAAAACAAAAACAAACACTTGCCTGTGTAATCATTAATGCAGAGTAATGAATCTCCCATGGAGTAGTCAGTGGGAGTGGGAAAGGGGTCAGTGTATTCAGTAGGTGTTCAGACATCAAACCATAGATTTGGTGGGATAATTGTCATGTCGTTTGACTGTCTTCCCTACAGCAGCATACGCTGACACTTTGAGAATGCCATGGACTTCATAATCCATTTTAAGCTGTCAGTTTGACTGAGATAAGGCAATTTGTTCTGGTTTGTAGGCATAATGATCTGCTTTACACAGGTGTACTAGTATTTGTACGTAATTTGTATTGTTTTGTTAGTTTTGGCTAAGTGACCTCCCAAAGTAAAATTAGTTTTCATTGCAAATATTTTCAGTGTAAATTGTTGCCCAACTATAGCTTAGTTCACAGATGTCCTTATTTACTGCAGCTGTCTTCTTTAAACAGAAGCTATTCTCGTATATCCAGAGATTAAGGATGAGCATTTAACCCATCTGGCTGATTCCAGCTGCTTTTTGGCAATGGCTGTTATATTTTGGATACCTTGCATTTTTCCTGCCGATTATTTTTAGGGGAATAATAGAAGGCTGGGTTTGATTTTCCGAGCTAGTCTAGGCAGAGTAAAGATGAGGCTAGTCCTTAATGCATAAACACTTTTTAATTTAGTACATTTGACTTGCTGGATTCATCTCTGTTATTAACCAACTAGCACATGGTACATGCACATCTAGAGAATTGTATTACTAAAGCCTGTAGTTGCTAGCTGTGGCTGTTCCATTTTAGCCGTTGAAACAAGTGTTAAGAAATTAGATTGCTCTCTGTTAACCTACTAGGTAGATTTACTCTCTAATGTGTCCTGATGACCTCTGTTAATGAAACAAAATGAGGGGAAATCCACAATGTTTGAGTTTTTGCCAGAACAAAAAGTGAGGGGATATCTTCCATTGCAAATACCTGTTTTTGTGACAACTTCCTTAATTCTTCTCATTTTGAGGATATTTCCACTCACTTCTTCATCTCTTCTACAGTACATTAACAGAAATTGCCCAATAGGACACAGACAACAACAAAAAAGGTGACAGGGTTAACTCTTCCCTAGTCCAAAATCTAAAGAAACAATTTTCGGGATTATATACCTTAACTACTACCTTAGCTACTATTATTAAAAATGCAGACCATGATAATGCCTGATGAAGAATCTTAATATTTTAATATAGTGTTTTTCTGAAGCTTACATCTTGAGCAGCTTAAAACCCAACTGCAGGCTTTGAAAACACCCCCCCATCACTGGTTGGGCCCTGAGTACCACTGAAGCATTCCCTACTTTTTTTTCTAAATCTGAATGTATAGCTTTCAGTTGTCTTTCAAAATTATGTATTGATGCTTAATGTCTATACTTTTTTCCGTGGGGGTCATTGGTCCAGTCATATGACATCACTTTTTTTGTTCATCCTCTTCTTCCTCCAGAGGTGGTCAGGTCCTGAATGCTTCAGAGAGTAGTACCATATCCTTCTCCTGTGAGTCCAGGGCAGCCTGATGACTCAAATTCAGTGGCAGGATCCTTGATGTTCTGGGCTCACATGAAGAAGAGGACTGGTGCTGGATTGCAGAGAGGTGAGTCTTCTGAAGACTGCACCAGAAAGAGAGTATTTCGGCTAGAGCTGAATTTTTTTTATTTTTACAGATGCTGGGATTTTTTTTAATTCTTTGTCTAAGCCGGACTTGGGCTTAACGCTAGTCAATAAAGGATATCTCTAAAATGCCTAACTTTGTGCATGATCTCATTGTAAATGATTACTGATCCAAGTATTAATGGATTCTGTAAGGCCCATGGCACACCAGCAATCTTGAGAGCAAAAAAAAACGACTAACCTGCTTCTATGGCATCACTTCCTCACTAGTCAAACCAGCCAGGTAGTTGCTCAGCTGCTATTCCGTCATGAGAGAGATTCTGCAGGCTTCCAGCTAGTGAGGTATCAATGCCATAGAAGCAGTTGAGTGTTCAATTTAGCAATTCTATGTCTAGTGAGTTGCCAACACTGAATGGATTGTTAGTCTGACATGAGCCTTAAGCTTTTGTGGCCACATAATCATTATGTTTTCTGTTATCTGTGTTTGTATAATATATTCTTCTTCTTCTTCATATGTGTGTATATTGTGCTTTTCAGGAAGTCTGTACATTACTGAGAGACACAATTGATTCCAGAGTGAGGCAGCATATTGAAAGCCGCAGACAGCAGGGTCAGGTGAAGCTTAAAGAATACACACAGGCCAAGCCATTGTTTCTGAAAGGTGAGTGCTCATCTGTTACATTACAACAAGACATATAGTAATTGTTTCCAATCACCTCTTCTTCAGTATTTTCTGTCATTATTACTACACTCTGTTAAAATGGTACACATACAGTATATTGGAACAGATCATTGTTTTATGGGCCCATTCATTTTCTGAGGGTCCTCAACGTGTGTACACATACCAAAAAATTATCCTGACTTATTTTTTTTCTGCTGAGTTTCAGTTGCGTTTGTTTCCCTTGTTTATGTGCCTTGCGGATTCTTTAGAAATGAATTTGTGTACACCCCATAGTACATACAGAAAGCATTAATATTCAAATAGACATTAGTGATTTTTGTCTGATCTTGCTGATGTCAGTGTAGATGGTTGAAGGTGCTACTTTTATACCTTGGAAAACACACACAGCCATTAGATCTATGCTGTACTCATTCAAAGAAGGGTTTAAAGTAGCTGGATTGTGCAAGTATGTCCAGTTACCATGGTACAATCTTTTCCCATTCATCTGGCACCGAACTGTTTGGGGCTCATTGTTCCATGCTACAAGTGTCATGTTCAGGCTTCATTGAATCTGATAATGCCATGTGCACTAGCATAGTGTAGTAGTTCCATTTATTAAAAATATCAGTTTAAAATAATTGCACAAACAAATGTAGGGCTGCAACAACTAATCCACATAATCGATTATAATCGATTGTTGAAAAAGTTGTCAACTTTTTCAATCATCGATTAATCGGCTTCCGATTGGTTGGCCCTGTTCACGGCTCCAGATCCGCCAGATCCACCCACCCGCATCCACGCTCCACACGCCGCACCTCCTCCCTACCTCACGCTCGCCGCTGCCAGACCCGCCCGCATCCACGCTCCACACCTCTTCCCCCCCTCATGCTCACTGCCCGCCCAAATCCACGATCGGCTTAAATCGAACTTAATAATCGGCTAACTAATCGATTTTGAAAATAATCGTTAGCTGCAGCTCTACACAAATGTAGATCTTTGTGTGGCAACAGTAATGCGACAGCGCATGCTGCAGATCCTGTCTCTAATGGACTAGCTTGGGTGTAACATCACTGAGTGTGTGTACCTTGCTCTTCTCTCTGACACGCTGTCACAGGAGGCTGATCGAGCGTTGTAGGGAGAAAAGCCCAGCCTCCTGTGACAGAGCTGTCTCCGCCCCACACCGCTCTGCCGGACTGTGATAGGCGGCAGAGCGGTGTGGGAGGAGACGCAGGCCACACTCTCATTCCGTGAAGCTATCGCAGGTTCCCATGAAGGAGAAGATCTAAGGTAGACAGGGAAGTAAAGGAGGTGCCGTATGCCTGTATGACTCATCCTTCACATGGCAAACAGGGCAGGGCGCATCATGTGACGTCAACGCATTTCATCAAATTGCAGACTCCATCAGGACGTAGGGACACAAGGGAGGGGGGTGTTCCTAGATACATAGCTGCCCACTTTAAAGATTTAAAAAAGAACACTCCATGTCAAGTGAACATTTTCAGCTTTTTTTACACATTAAATAGAGGAAGGGATCACCTGCCTCACCTCCATTTAATGTGTTAGGTGTGGTATTGCTAGTTAATGCAGTAATACTACACAGACAATCAGAGTGTACCTCCCACTAAGGCAGCAGATCTCAAGGCTTGAAATGCTGTTTCACCTGCTCAGCCCTCTGGATAAAAAGGTACACCTTCAGTTTGCCATTGATAGGCTGTTTCGTCCCCCTGCTGGGTGCCTTACATGTTTATCTCCTCGTGGTTGAGATGCTCAGGCTTCACACTGTAGCTTTGACTCTGAACCTTTGGATAAGTCACCTTTTATATTTGCCCCTTCTGGTATTACTGAACATAATTTTGCATCTTTCCAGAATTGTTTAGATTCTCTGTATCCTGGGATCTCTGATTCCTACACAGGTAGAAAAATATCCTTGAGAATGGTATTTCACTTGATCCCACACTCCTGCCTGCTTTTGAGTCCTCTTCCATCAAGGCTAGTTGTACTCCTTGTGATGCTTGAGACTCTTTGGACCCTAAGGAAAAGGGTTTTATGTTAAATACAAAAATATTTTTCTCTGTGAAGAGGTAACTCGCCTGGTGTTTTCACAAAAAATTGTACTACCACAGGAGTTGAAAGCTTTAGAACCAATTAAAGTCTCACACCGTTTTATCCCTGTAGAAGTGTGCCCCTACATGTTATGATTTCTGACTGATTTTAGCATTAAAATACCCTAAAATACTTTTTACACTGACATGGAACACCTACTATTTCCTTCCTTGTTGTGATCTGCCCAACACTATTTTGGCAATTATGACAAGTGTGTTTCAAAGCAACAGAATGGGTCGCAACTCTTTTTACAAAATGGCAGCTCCCAAGCACAATTTTTTGGCTTTTGTCACCAGAGCAATACCACACATTTAAAATCAGCAGGTGGTTATAGCAAGAAAAGACGAAAAAAATACATATTACAGGTCTTCTTTGAACATTCATATTGGTTCCTTGCCTTGTGCAGTAACAAAGACTAAACAAACAGTATATCCATCCCTGTCTAACCTATTGCTTAAAGATGCTTTCAGAAAGAAGAAATCATCACTGTATTTCAACACACACACACAATGGAGGAAGGGACAAAGCATCTCATCTTTTATCCCATGTTACTTCTCCTTAAAATGCAAATATTGAGGAGCTTAAAATAAACTATTTTCACAATTATTCTAAAGCTAGGTTTACATTCTGATTTCATGTGCTTAACTAGTAACAGCATTGGCATGCTCAAATGTTGCTAACAGAACTAAATATTAATGTGAAATTTTTTTTTTTTTTACAGTGAATATATTATAATTTTATTATGTTTGTGACATTTACAAATGTTACTTAGGGCATGTTCTGTGTTCCATATAATTATGGTATTGTTCTCAAATAATAACAGAACAAGTAATTGTTTTAAGAACTTGGTCAGTGGTCTGCTGTACAGGACATGAATGAAACGATTGTGGAAGATGGTTTTCATTGTTATAGCATGCTGTCCAACTTGTCATGGGCAATTAAAACTAGTACTGACCGTTTTCACAAACAAGATGTGTATATTACAGGGATTAGCAATATACATGCAATTCATAAAGTTGATATTTGGGGCTGTTTATAAAAGGGTAGTCCTCAGAAGACTTTGGGTTCAAGAATGATTGAAGTGCAGTTTTTCTTGACATTAGGCATGCCCATGTAATCTGTGAACTTTAAATATATGAGTGCATAAAGGGAAGCCAGCAAAATAAACTTAGACAGCTGAAGTCATAATGTCATTATGTTTATTTTTACTATTATAGGGTTCTGATTGATCTTTAGCCATTTAGTCATTCTGCAATGTGTCTTTCTTGGCTTCTCTTATGAATGGTAGTTACTACAGTAGCCTACATTTAGTTTTAAAATGGGTTGTAGTGTATGTTTGAAGGCCATCTGTGCATACCTTGTCATGAGACCTTCCTTCAGAAAAATATTTTCTGCCAATAGGGGAATAACTTGGTAGTTACAAAAAGATGGGGTTCATTATAATGTACGAAGCACCTAATGCCTAATGAAACTGCCTAGTGAAAACTCTACAGAGGAGTCTGAGGCAGAAATCCATTAACCTTTATATTGTGGTTTGAGGAACCAATTTACTGTTTGTGGGGTTTGTTGTGTGGGTCTTTAGGTGCTGAATACATTCATCCAGAATCTTTATCTAAATACCATTTGGGCCTCAAAATGCTATTAAATTGGAGTATTGTCTCTCATAAAAACTGACCATTGAGAGCCTCAAAATAATATAATACTGATTTTTGAAGCCCATGAACAAAGACATACCAACAAGCAAAAACTAACAACCCCTCCCCCCCCAGCTCATTCATCTGCTGGCTAGAAACTGCTATTATCTATTTCACATTACTGAATTCAATAGTAGGCTGACTATTGCACAGGCCCACTGCCCTTTGTTGCCCATTCACCTGCCAGCTGCGGAATCTAGCCATCAACCACAGCAAGATGTTAGCAACTAAATAAATGTATTTGCTAACTTTTATAATGTGCAAAGGTCTATTAAGTGACTTGCAAAAAAAATTTAGGACATATTACTCTCCACGATTTTGTTTTCTAGTTGCTTGAATGCTGGATAATGGTGATGAGTTTACTGTATATGTATATAGAACCTTAAAAGGATAACCTAAGGACTGCTAGGATCCTAAAAATAAAGAATTGCAGGGTGATTTTTATAGGTTGTATTATAGCAAACAAAGTATATAGAGCAAGAGCTTGAAAAAGAGTCTTTCCCCAACATGTGCTGTATACCACATGTGTTATTACACTGTGCTTTACATAAGATATAGAAATAATGTTCTTGCCATGGCAGCTGCAAGTCTGCTTTCATTGATTTATTGACTCTTGGGCATCAATACATTAAGCTGATATTTTTCCATAGACATTCGAATGTTACAAGAAAGGCACACAAATTTGTTGTGTTTCAGTTTTTTAACAGTTTACTTTCAGACATCTAAGCCCAGTTGTAAAATATTAAATACATAGAAATGACAGTCCTCACAATTATTTATTCTAAAATAGTTCATAATAATTGTAAGAATTCATAATAATTGTAGTAAAAAAATGACAGTGCTCACAATTATTTATTCTGAATTAATTCCTAATAATGGTAGAAAATAAAGAATATTATTTAAATAACATTGAATTTGCTTTCATGGCCTTTTAATACATTTGGGCTTTGTCAGACTTCGATTTAAACATATGTTCATAAAGGCATAATAGACATTCTACTGAGAAGAATGGAAGACCTTTTGTTTCAGAAGACCTTGTTATAGAAAAGGGTAACTACAGCTTCAAAGACCAGACCGTTACCTTCTATAGTCCAGACTACAAAAGTTAAGACTCCATTTTCCTTTTGATTATATGGCTGCCTCCAACTAGTTTCATATCATATTCAACCCATGGGAATGGTCCAGCCCTGTTGGTACTGTCTA